TCCCAGGGAGAGTTGTAACTAATTGCCTGGCTTTTGTTTTGCTAAGAAATAGAAAGGGCTGGGTTCTTCTGTACTAACGAAGGGATTTGTATTAAGTGGGAGGCAAAAGATAGGAGAGAGAAGGAATGGTTTACTCATTTAAAGAACTTTATTTTTTTAATTTTTTAATTTTTTTATTTTGGCATATTTATGGGGGTACAAATTTTAAGGTTTCAATAAATGCCCTTTCCCACCCTCCCCCGACAAGTCTGAGTTTCCAGCATGACCATCCCCCAGATGGTGCACATCTCACTCATTATGTATGTATATACCCGCCCCCTCCCCCCTCCCACCTGCCCAATACCCTATTACTGTAGGACCTATGTGTCCACTTAGGTGCTGCTCAGTTAATACCAGTTTGCTGGTGAGTATATGTGGTGCTTGTTTTTCCATTCTTGGGATACTTCACTTAGTAGTATGGGTTGCTCTAAGAAACAACAGTGATATAGCACATCTTATATTTTCCTGGTTAGAGCTGGAACTCATTTAAAGAACTTTAAAAAGGAAAGAATGGATATGTCTAATAAGGCATTTGATTAAGTTTCTGCTATGTGCTATACTTTCTCTTACCCATCTCCCCATAAAATGAATCTTCAATACAATATCAATTTTTAAATGTGTTAAGAGGTTGGATCTGTTTTAGAGTTGTTCCAAGGGCTTCCTAGTTTCAAAGTAAGTGGGCAAGAATAGGGACAGCCCATGTCTCTCTGTCTTTCTGTGTGTGCTTGTGTGTGTGTATACGTGTGTGTCTGTCTGTATGTGTCATGACCTGTAAAGACCTAGAAAGATGGCTTTCTATTAATAGATGTTGCCTAACCTTAGAAGTCAGAGGACTTGTAACTTCTAGGTAGTTTCCCAAAGCCAGGATCCAACCTCAATATTTCAGAAAGTATAGGGCCCTGTGAACTAAAATAAAATTTTAAGGCTCCCCCAACCACAGGCTGACTGAATGGACTCCCCTCTTGGCCAAGGGGATATCCCCAAACTGAATTGTCTGCCACAAGGAGGGAGGTCAGACATGGCTCATCATGTCCTCCCCCTTCTTGGAGACATCCTTTGTAACCCACTAACAGGCCTAAGGGTATGCAAGACAAACCTGTAAGTCCTCAATTTGCACAACAAATATATGTCCAGTGGCTTGTCTCTGATCAACAGCTCCTTATCTTAAAATATTCCAAGCCTTTAGACAAAGCTGTCATGTCTTTAACCAATTACAAGTCAAAGAATCTTTAAACCCACCTGTAACCTTTAAGCCCCAGCTTTGAGATGGCCCACCTTTTTGGGCAAAACCAATATATGCCTCCCACATATTGATTTATGACTTTACCTGTAACCCCTGTCTCCCTGAAATGTATAAACCCAAACTGTAACTCAGCGACAGTGAGTCCACTTGCTCTAGGCTTCTTGGGCGTGGCTCTGGGTCATGGTCCTCAAATTTGGCTCAGAATAAATCTCTTTAAAATTATTTTACAGAATTTGGCTTCTTTGGAGCACATTCTTAATGTGGCTAGTGTAAACTAAAAATAAAGTCCTCAGCTGTCTTGCCAACCGAACAGACACTTTCTTAGCCAAGGTGACTTCAGAAAAACCTTAAAACTGAATTTCTGCCTATAAAGGGAAGGAAGGTTCCACCCACCTAGTGATAACCTCTCAGTTTTGAAGTTTACATACAACAATTGACCAGCATTAATATTAAAACAGAGATCATAAAACTGTCCAAACAAACTCTTTGTGACAATAGATATTTAATTATTAACAGGACCTAAGACCATGCAGGGCAAATGTTAAATCACACTTACAGGCCATCTTTGCCTAATAGATCATTTGAGTTGGTGTATTGTGGCTTGTCTCTGATTAACAGACTTCCTTAACTTAAAACATTCCAAGCCTTTAAACAAAGCTTTATTTCTCTAACCGATTACAAATCAAAGAATCTTTGAACCTACCTATAACCTAACCTGTAATCTCCCTCCCTTTGAAATATCCCACCTTTTTGGGCCAAACCAATATATAACTTCCATGTATTTGTGATTTTACCCGCAGTTCTTGTCTCCTTAAAACGTATACAAGCCAACTGCAAGCCAATCACCTGGAGACCACTTATTCAGGACTTCTTGGGTGTGGCTTCCCTGGTTGAGGTCACACACATTGGCTCGGAATAAAACTTTTTAAATCATTTTACAGAGTTTAGATTTTTTTTCTTTCTGTTAACACTAGGATAGAGGTGAAAATAGTAGCCATACTTTTAACCTTTTGATGCCATATTCCCACTCTTAACCCTATTGCACTCCCCGCCCTTTACTAGAACTTTGACACATTTGTTTTCTACATTCTGAGCACGACTTTCTAAAAAAATGTAATTGTTTTTAAATTAAAATATACAAATAAAATTGTATATATTTATGGTATGCAACGTAATTTGATATAAGTGTACTTGTAGAATGGCTAAATCAAACATGCATTACCTCACATACTCATCGTCTTTGTGAAGAGGGCATTTAACATCTACTTTCAGCAATTTTCAAGTGTACAATATATTATTATTAACTATAGACACCATGATGTATGGTAGATCTCTTGAACTTATTCCTGCTAACTGAAATTTTGTATCCTTTAGCGAGCGTCTCCCTAACACCTCCATCCCTTGTCCCTGGTAACGACCATTCTAATTTCTGCTTCTGTGAGTTCAACTCTTAGATTCTACATATAGGTGAGATCATGTCACAAAGGTACATGTCTTTCTGTACCTGGCTTATTTCATGTAACATTATTTACTCTAGGTTTATCAATGTTGTCACAACTGATAGGATTTTCTTCTTTTTAAAGGTGGAATATTATTCTATTGTGTGAATACACACACACACACACACACCCACACACACACCATGTTTTATTTATCCCTTCATCCATTGATGGACTTTTAGCTTGATTCCATATCTAGGCTATTGTGAAAAACATAGTGAACATGGAAGCACAGACACCACTTTAACATATTGATTTCATATCTTTGAACATATACCCAGCAGAAGGATTGCCCGGTCATATGGTAGCTCTATTTTTAATATTTTGAAGGAACTTCTGTGCTGTTTTTCATTATGGCTATACTAAATTACATTCTACCAACTGTGTACAAGGGTTCCTTTTTCTCCACGTCTTCAAAAACACTTGAAATCTTTCATCTTTTTGATAATAGCCATTCTAACAGGTGTGAGGTAATATTTCATTGTGATTTTAATTTGCATTTACCTGATGATTAGCAATGTTGAGTGCCTTTTCATATATATGTTGGCCACTTGTATGTCTTCTTTTGAAGAAAAATGTCTATTTGGGTCCTTTACGCATTTTTTAAATCAGGTTATTTGTTTTCTTTCTATTCAGTTGTTTGAGTTCCTTATATATCTTGGATATTAATCCTTTATCAGATATATAGTTTGAAAATATTTTCTCCCATTTTGTAGGTTGCCTTTTTGTTTTGTTAATTATTTCCTTTGCTGTGCAGAAGCATTTTTAGTTTGATGCAAATCTACTGGTCTATTTTTGCTTTTGTTGCCTGTGCTTTTGGCCTCATATCCAAAAAAAAAAAAAAAAAATCTGATCACAACTTTTGCGGAATACCAACTCCCTAAACATCACCAACACAAGTTGTTGATAAATCAAACTAAATTTATTACTTATTGCAGTAAAGGAGAACACCATCTAGAGAGAGCTTTATAGTTCTCTGAGAAGGATGGCAAGGTTGACGTCATTAAGAATAAGAAGTGTGGTTTAAGGTGTATCTTTCAATGAGGGGGCTTGATTATCAGCAAGTTTCTGCTTGCTGAGACTCTAGTGGTGGTTTATTTATTTCTTAAGCCTGAGTACATTTATTCATGTTCTTAAATTTTAAGAATCATGTTATCATGAGCAAAGTTCTACCTCAAAAGTGCAAATTCCAGATTGTGTGGAAGTCTGTTCATTAGGATCTGTTTCTAGAATTTACCCTGGAATACTGAGGGATCTACTTGAATCCTCTCTATATAAGGGAGAGCCAAGATTCCCTTTGGATCTATTAGGCATAATTTGATTTTTGTGGAAATAGAAGTTATTTTCTAAGGTCTCAGCAGACTCAATTTGACAACCCATTGCCATCAGTAGGTGAGAAGGTGTTCAGAAAGATTTCAAGATTTTTATCTTATCATTAGGTTGGAATTAGGGGCTGATAAGTTATTTTAATTGAAAGAAACCATAAGTAAAAGGAGTTAAAGCAAGATTTTTCACTCAGTAACAAAATTTATGCATGGTCCAAGCAAGAAAATTAAATGCTTAGAAAGGACAATGTTTTGGGGAGAAGTATATGTAATAAGAAGGACATACCAATTTTACAGGGTTCTACAAATCTATTTATTCCTTCATTTATTCAACTTTTAATAGCAGTGACATGGGGCTAACAGAACTATTGAATTCTGCCATGTTGTAGAAATAAAAAGAGGCCAGCTTGAGCTTGTGTTTGAAGAACGCAAGACCATGAAATTGCTTAGAGCTTTGCTGTTGTAAATTTAGTGTAAGAAAGTAGGCTGTATTCTTGGACATAGTCCACTTAGTTTATGATTAGGATGCTAAAAGTGCAAAGAATGAAAAATGGTGTTTGGGATCAGTAAAAATGTTTGGCACAATGGAAAGAGAGATCAAGTGATATTAAATATGTGCATTGTCTCTTAATGGGAGTAAGAGAGATTTAGGAATTATTTTGGGATTAGGAGATATCATCATTATAAAATTCTACTTGAGTAATTTGTTATTTATGAAGATGTGTCAGTAAGGTTGCATTAGCAGAAATTTTTTTTCTCCAAGGTATGGAAATGAGAGCCATAGTTAACAAAACTACCATAGTTTTGTGGTAGATAGTCTCCAAAGATGTCTGACATCAATTTCTTTCCCACATTTTTGTGCATGCTACTTCTGTATCAAGGGCTGGAATCTAATTCATCTCCCCATAAATCTAGGACATTTTAATGGTTGTTGGTTAATTCTAGTCAGTGAAAGTGATGTTATTGTGTTTCCAAGGTGAAGTCATATAAGGCTTAGTGGCTTCTTTCTGGGACTTTTACAATTCTTGCAATCCAGCCACCCTGTGGTGAGAAGTCCAAGCTGTGATAAGAGGCTGTAGGTGAGTCTTCTGATCGACAGTCCCATGTGAGCTCGCAGCCAACAGCCAGTGCCAACTTCCTGCCATATGAGTGAGCAGCATTAGTTCCAGTTACATACCAGGTAGTAGCCGACAGTGAAGGGGCTCGACTAGAAATAAGCTCCCACATGGCCAGGAGAGAGCATATACAAGCAGAAAGAGTATATACAAGAGAGAGGATTGTAGAAATGCTTTATAAATATTTCAGGATTGAGATGAGGGTATAGTCATTTTGTTAGAATTTACTTACTCTCTGCTACCAAATGATTGAATTGACAATGAGTTCACAGTATGTTTTACAGGGTTACCAAAAAAATAAAATAAAATAAAACAATAACAAATAAAACGATTATTTGATAGCTCTGATGTTATATGTTGTTATCTGGTGCACGTTTTATACCCTAGACTGGTAGTCTTGGCTAGACATGTAGTAAAATATGATTCGAGATAGGGAAAAAGTGAGAGTTCAGTAACTTCTTTATATAGGATGTAGTGTAGATGTGGCTAAATTTAATTCCAGAAATGTCCCGATATTTTGAGGTTTTCTAGGGACCTATTAAGGAATCTTCAGGAATCTTATTACCTATGACATTTTTCCAGATGGCCATTAAGAAGCAATTGCAAGGATTAAAATAAAACTGGGAAAGGCTTTCTTCTCCTGCTGATAACATATTGTTCTCTCTGGGGGAACAGCCTTCCTCCAACTGCCCCAGGACAAGGATTAAGAGAATACTTGGATGGGGATCACCTGCACACAACAACCTCTAGGGGGAACTCCAGGCTTTCTCTCTCCATCGAAGTGCACTGCTGCCCTCCACAACCTCCTCCAGTAGCTCCTCTGACTCCCAGTCCAGTGCGTCTTCCATTTATATCATGTTACATTGTTATCATTACTGTGTTCACGATTTTGTTCGCCATAAAGCATTTTTCTGTGCGGAAAATATGTTCATCACTTTCAAAGGAAGAAGAGCTATTTAATTATCCCTCATCATGCATTGTTGCTCTTATCAGAAATCCTTGTGTGTGTGTGTGTGTGTATATATGTATACTCTCTATATATCTGTATATATGTATACATGTATGTGTATGTATAAGTCCATATGTGTGTTTAAATATGTTCAATGTGTGTATGTCTGTATACACACATACACTGTCAATACAGACTAGTTTCTTTTCCATGATTCAGTAGTGATATAAAGCTATTGAATATTAAACAAAGATGAAGGCAGAAGGTTAGCTGAAAAGTCTCTTATTTTTAACTGAGATGCCTTTGAAACAATTAGAATCATTCCTGGTAGGTACTGAATAAATAACTTAAAGGAGGTTGCAGATAATTCATCCTCCCTCCTTGCAGTCACTGCATGATCTACACATAGTCTGAAAAATGATAGGGTCTGATGGATCTTTTCACCCTGACAAATAACAGAGTATTATGTTTCTATAATTACCCTCAAACATTTTAGTGATACAACCCAGAATCATGTCAAAGTAACTGAAATCAGGTTTACAACAGAATTCCAAAATAGCAATGATCTTCTAGAGGTATTTGACTGGCTATGTGTAGAAAAAACAAATACCTAAAGGCTCCTATTTTAGTAGCTGGGCCCAGGTCAACTTCAGAGAATTTTAAGAAAAAGTAGCATATGTCCTCTGTTTTATACATGACCGGATTCTTGACTAGCTAGCCCTCTGCAGGGCACAGGCAGCAAACCCTGCTGTTAGGAGTTTGAAATAAACATTTTACAAATCTGAATTCTTATTTTGTCAGTTATTTGTGTCTGTGATGTGGGAAAACCTCAAACTCAACATTTTCCATAGTTTCATCTATAAATTACATGCCATTAATATTTTGATTATATAGTTCATTATATTTTAGAAAAAACATGCAAACAGTATCTTATTAAATCTACAAACCCCTCAAGTAAAGCAGTAATTATTGTAATCAGCAAAAGAAAATGAAACTCAGGAAAGTTAGGGAAATTGTCTCAGACCACACAATCATAGAGTTAGCATTTGATCCTAGAGTTGCTTACTCCGAATACAATGTTTTTTTTTCATTACCACAAATTTTTTTCCTAACTAGTTGAGAATTTATGATGGAATATTGTGATACTTAAAGAAATGCATTATAAAAATAAAAATGATCATTTTATCTCTTTTTGTATAGGTTATGCCTTTTAGGGTCACGGTAATTAGACAAACCATCTCAGACAACATCTTTCTGACATTACTAGTAGTGATTTTTTTTTTGGTAGGAATAATAACAAACGAATAGGAACATATGTACCCTACACATTAAAAGAGAAATCTTTACACTAAATTATGAAAAGTCATCCTCTACATGTACTGGAATCTCGATTCCTTATTGGTGTTTGCAATGACATTTGACGTTGGATGTTTCTTATATTCCCAAAGCTTAAAATTGCCACTGAAATCTTATGTGATTGGGTTATCAAGAGTTTACATCAGTTTTCCAAGTTTTTTTTTTTTTTTTTTTTTTTTTTTGAGACAGAGTCTCACTTGTTGCCCAGGCTAGAGTGAGTGCCATGGCGTCAGCCTAGCTCACAGCAACCTCAATCTCCTGGGCTCAAGCGATCCTCCTGCCTCAGCCTCCTGAGTAGCTGGGACTACAGGCATGCGCCACCATGCCCGGCTAATTTTTTCTATATATATTAGTTGGCCAATTAATTTCTTTCTATTTATAGTAGAGACGAGGTCTCGCTCTTGCTCAGGCTGGTTTCGAACTCCTGACTCGGCCTCCCAGAGAGCTAGGATTACAGGCGTGAGCCACCGCGCCCGGCCTAAGTTTTCCAAGTTTTTGAAGAAAAGGTTTCAGCATTAGCTTAACCTTTAAAGACTTAGAGGATTTCTTCCTGCTCATGCAACAAATGCTATGCTGAAAGGACTTGAAAATGCTTTCACTGGAAACGTATAGAAATGCACAACAAAGTTAACAAACATTTAAAAAACATAGAGCCCAAATTGCCAGATTGAAAAGGAATTTCTCAGGTGCTAGGAGAGAAAATAAGAGTACTGGAAAACAGTTAATTGATTATAATCGGGTGAGATAATCAGGTGAGGAATTGCTGCAGGTGTGGGGGGAAGGGCTGAAAGGCAGGGGGACTGGGTAGTTGGCAGAGATAGAGGTTCTTAATAGGGATAATTTTGGCCTGCAGTGAGGGACATTTGGCCGTATCTGGAGACATTTTTTGTTTGCCGCAACTGTGGGGGTGGAATAGTACAAATGGTGTTAATGGCATCTAGTGGAAAGAAACTAGGAATTCTGCTAAACATCCTACAATGCACAAGAAAGCCACCCCAAACAAAGAATTATGTGACCCAAAGTGTCAATGGTACTCAAGTACCCTGGCCTGGACAGTGGGGGTGCGGGGAGGGGGGGGGTATGCCTATAGAGATAGTAAAAAAAGACTTTGATCCAGAGGGGTGGAAATTTAAAACTGAGACCTCCTCAGAGAGAAACTCCTAATCCTAGAAAGGTTTTACCTAAGGTGAAAAACCAAAAAAAAAAAAAAAAAAAAAGAAAGAAAGAAAGAAAGAAAGAAAGAAAGAAAGAAAGAAAGAAAGAAAGAAAGAAAGAAAGAAAGAAAATCAAAGGATTTGTCAAGGAAATATTTCATTCTTTTCCTCTCTGCTTGCAATGTAAGAGAAATTCCTATGAGTCTAAGCAATCTTTCAGTTTGTGGTTCATATTTACCAAAAACATATCTGGGATTCTAAATATTTAGAAAATAAAATGAACAGCAATTCTGGGTAAGTGATGTCCCTACAGAAGTAAACACAAAATCTCTCTGGCAGGACAGTTTTATAATCTATGCTTACAATAAAAATTTTAAAAGTTAAACAATTCACCCAAAGTGGGAGTTAGCAGACTCAATTAACAGTAATATTAAGGCCTGAAACACTTGCAATAATAAAATAATCAAAAAGAGAACACATACTAATTAAGTTTAATACAACCAAAATATTTTAAAAGTAATTAAACTCCTATGAAAATGCAGGCACTATAAAAAACAATAAGCAGATCTGCAAAACGAAGCAAATCAAATTTCTAGAAATAAAAAATAAAGTCATTGGAATAAAAAATCCAATCAACAATTTAAACAGCAAATTAGATACAAATGAAGAGAGAATTGTAAACTGAAATAAACATATGAGCAATTAACCAGAATACAGAACAGATGGGAGAAAAAACTCAATAATGTTGGAAAATACGAGAGCTTGAGAAACATGGAGTTTAGATTTAAAAGAGTCAAAATTTATATAATAAGAATTTTTGAAAGAAAGACTAGAGAGTGGGGGAAATACAACATTCAAAAGTAAGAAGCTAAGAGTGTAAAAACCTTTTAACAGTATAAACTTCCATTTTCCCTCCTAGTTGTAGGCTATTGCTGCCATACATTTTATTTATATATATGTTATAAATCTCACAATATGCTGTTGTTACTTTTGTTTAAATAATAGTCTTTAAAAGAGATTTAGGTTACAAGAAAATAATCTTATATGTTATATGCAATCTTATATTTTAGGTGTAATCACAAACGTAATTTGGAAAACTTTGACCATTGTTTATTCAAATGCTTTTCTCCTCACCTCCCCATCTCTACTGGGACTCCATTTATACATATAATTAATTAGATGCTTGTAGTCCCACAGCTTGCTGATTTTTTCATTTCGTCTTCTGGATTCTTTTTTCTCTGTGTGTTTTAGCACATGTAGTTTTTATTGCCAGATCTTCAAGTTTACTAAATTTTTCTTTTGCTGCATCTAATTAACCATTGATCCTATCTAATGTCTTTTTTTAAAATTTATTATGAGCATTAGAATTTTCATCTCTAGCAGTTTCATGTATGTCTTAAGTCTTCTATTTCTCTATTTAGCTTTTTGAATGTATGGAATACGGTTATATTATCTATTTTAACATCTTTGTTGATCTTAACATTTTCAACAGTTTCAGTTAATTGATTATTTTCATTATTATGGATCAGATTTCCCAGCATTTTTTTTTTCCTGGTAATTTTTGATGAAAGGCCAGATATTGTCAATTTTATCTGTTTGAGTACTGAATATATTTTCATTTCTATAAATCTTCACTTTTGTTCTGGGATGCCACTAAGTTATTTTAAAGCAGATTTATCCTTTTGAGTCTTACTTTTATGATTTGTTAGACATGCCCAGAGCTGTACTCAATCTAGGGCTCATTATTCCCCACTGCTGAGCCAAGACCTAATGCTCCATTGGCTAGGAATTGTTCTAGTCTGGATAGTGAAAACAGTATGATTTCTGATGCTGTGTGCATGCTGGTCACTGTTCTCAAATCTTTTGCATGTCTTTCCCCCCTCCTGTCCTGTAGTCATTTCCTTACGTGCGTGTGCTGATCACTGCCCTCCTGAATACTCGAGGAAGACCCTCTGCACATCTGCTCTTTGGATCCTCTGTCCTACAAACTCTCTGCTATCGCTGGATGGTCGGCACTGTCTCCTTCACTCAGCAGGTATGGTGAGCTCCTTCTAGAGTCTCCTGCCCTGTCTGTGGCCCAAAAACCTCATCACTGAGCGAGAGCAGCTGTGGGGCTTACCTCACTTGTTTCTTGGAAAACAGTTTTTCATTGCCAGATGTCCAGTGTCTTATAAACTGTTGTTTCATATAATTTGTCATTTTAAAAATTGTTTTAGGTGGGAGGTTATATATATGCGCCCCTTTTCTTCATTTAAGGCAGAAACGGAATTATCATCCACTGCATTTTAATTGTCTTTTGGAGATGAACCTAAAGAGAAGCATGGGAAACACTGCAGGGAATGCCCCCTTGTGGGCCAGTTAAAGAATACTGTGGGGGTGGCAGTGACGATGTGTATTTCCCAAAGTCAGATCATTTGGCCTAAGACACATGCATGATTAATTTTACA